CTTGTCCAGATTCCGTTCATCGTGAGTTGTGTTGTGATGTTCGGCTTATAAAAAAATTACGTTTTCGGTGCACTTCATCCCAAAATTATTATCTGATCATCACCGAAAGTTATAGGAGTTATTCTTGACCACAACTGGAATCTCATGGAAAATTTCAAAGCGATCAGCGCTATATTTCCACCCGCTAGTGTGGTATTGGGTTGCTAAATAATATCTGAATACGTAAGCTCCTGTAAATATTTAAGTGTAGCTTCCACATCCGAGAACATACGACAATTGGTATCAACTAGACTGGAAAAACGGACAAAAATTAAGTATTTGGTCCATTTCATCACCTAAATATGAACCGATCTTTTCCAAAAACAATAGGAGTCTTCATTGGCCAGAACCCATCCTACATGCAAAATTTGGTGAAGGTTGGTCCATAATTTGGCCTGTATCGTGTTTACAAATTATAATGGACTGACGGACAGACGGACGGACGGACCCACATGACTCAACTCGGACCCAGATCGACTCAGCTAGCCGAGATATGACGATCGGTATACTTAAAGGTGGGTCTAGGACCAATATTTCGCGGCGTTACAAACTCTTGGGGCTGCACAAAGCTATAATACCCTGACAACATAGTTGTGTAGGTTATAAAAATCCACGCCTTTGTAAAGTCGTTAAAAATATATTTTTAAAAATGCTACGCCTTTGTAAAGTTCCTATAGAAATATTAATAAAAAATCCAAGTCTATAGAAAGTCCTCTAAAATATTTTTAAAAATTTTTTAAGGTTGTTCCATTCATATTTTTATTTTTTTACCCTCCAGCTTTCTTCTTATTTAATTACTTTGCCCTTCTTTTGTGCATATCGTGCAGAGCACTTGAATCGCCGAACTTCACAGGCGAATGATTTTTAAAGGATCAATTACAAACTAACGCAAACCCTCTCATTTCACTAAATACTCGGGCATATTTTTTGAATGTACTAACAGCAAGTCTGCATGATATCCCTAAAAAACAAAAGGACAAAAAACACACGCACACACCAATAACAACAAAAAATATCCGCGCAAATAGCCTTTTATAAGGTGTTGGTGATAAGAGTACTTCAATTTTCAAGCGGAACTACAACATATTGCGTTTTCTGATACATAAACCATAGGAATTCATTGCCCTTTGCAAAACACCAGAGCAAAACAAAAAAAATAGAAACTGGGAAAACAAAAGCCCATAGCGTGTTAAAAAAAATTCAAAACATTTTTTTTCGTTGGCTGCGTTAACTGGAACCCTCAAGGCATTGGAAAATACCGATATGCTTATCAGTATGGAAACATATTTTTTTTAGAGGCCAACACTAACTCGACAGGATATCATTTCATACGCAAACTCCAACAAGGATATGAATAACCATAAAAAATCTAGTCACAGGATAGGAAAAATTTTGTTCGCAAACAACCAAAATCGTTTTTTAATGGAGTCTCCATAAAAAATAGAACCCTCACACACACATACACAATTTTGTATGCCGCTAAAAAAAGCTCCAATCACAGTCGAGTTCTCAAACATGTTATGACGGATTTATGTAAATTTCCGTCACTGACAAAAAACCTACCCTTAACTTGGAAATATTAAAATGTCGTTTTTTACCAATGAGCAGGATATTCAAAACAAGCAACCCCCCTTTGTACTCAAACCCCTTTTGGTATTTTTTTCCACATTTGCATTTTTTATACCTCCTTAAGTAAGCATAGGGGAAAGGGTTGAAGTGTGAATGAAGGGGTTTGGATTTTTTATTGTCGGGGGTTGTTTTTTATTACATGGGCTATATGAACTGAGATTTTTTATGAATTTGTGATTCGTAGAAACTCCTTTGCATATTCTATTCTCTGTATGCTAATGTTTTTTTATGTAAATGGGAAATGTAAATTTCAACCCTTTTGGAATACTGGATATATAGTTCGGAATTCTCATTGGTCGTTTGGTTATATTCGGAAGAGTTTTTGTACATAACAAGGAAATAAAAAATGGCGTTATAAAAATCACAGATATGTCGAATGAATAAAAAAATGTGTTAAAACCAATTTCATAAATACTTTTATAAGGCGTGGATTAAAAAAAAAATCATAACGATTTGTTTAAGGCGTGGATTATACCACTATATACCACTACCATACGGCACAGATTTTTTTTATACCCTCCACCATAGTATGGAGGAAGTAACGAGTGCAGAGCGTGTGAGGAAGACAGTGAAACGCTGGAACATTTCCTGTGCCATTGCTCAGTATTTACATGCCTTCGGAGACAATTCTTGGGAAATGACACTCTTCACGAACTAAGCGATCTGAGGGGGTGTGAATGGAACGGAATTCCTAGATTCATAGGGAATCGAACCCAAATGTTTTTTCTTTATTAGTATACACTTTCACTAATTCTTGATTTGAACTTTCTCCGCACTTCTAGACCGCACAACAGGCCTCATATGGCTTATGTGTATGTTCTTCTCATGTTGGACATGAGACGATCTAGCCATGTCCGTCCGTTTGTCCGTCTGTTGTAATCACGCTATCTTCTGAAGGAAAATTAGATAGGGTGCTGGAATTTTACATAGGATTGTCTTTTGTCTGCAGACAGGTCAAGTTCGAAGATGGGATATATCGGTCGACGTTTAGGCATAGCTCCCATTTAACTGTACCCCCAATATTCTGTATTTTGGGGTTCTTGAGCACGTTTTCAACCGGATTCGCTGAAATTTGGTATTGGATACTAAATGTCTCCAAAAAAAAATATAAATATAGCTTCAGTTTTACTGCTAGCCTCCATATAAGGGTACCTGCTAATTTCCAGTATTTTGGTTGTATTGATCGTAGTTTTCCATTTTCTTGGATAGCCCCTATATAAGGGTACCGCTTTTCGATATATGGGGTTCTTGAGCGGGTCTTTCAATCGAATTCGGTGAAAGTTGGTACATTGGGTTATTTTTGGGTACCAAATGTCTCCACTTAAAATTATAAATATAGGTCCATTTTTCGGGAAGGCCCCACATAATCTTAACATATAAAAGAGCTTAGTGTTAAGTAAGTGAGTGACTGACAGATCATCGCCCAGACGAAACGGCGTAATATAAGGCTGGGTGTTTGGAAATTCATACTAAAATGTACCAAATATGGTACCTTTTGTATTAGGCGAACGGGAAGAGCTACAATTCGGAAATTTTAAATGTGGATCACTGATGGAATGTTAGAAAGATGTACAAAAGGGTTTTTTGAAAATTCGACCTATAAGTGTACGAAAAGTACCAAACTTTTTTTATTAATTTCTCTTTCGAGATGAGCTACAGGATCGGAGTTGCAATGAAAAGCAAAGCTAGAGAGATACTACATTCCCACCACTATGCGACGCTTTTCGCCGTTGGTTAAGAGGCTCATCAGGCATATTGGGCAATGTGGCTTACAAATGACTTTACTTGATAAATTGAAATTGCATCTACGAATTAAATTCAACCGTGTCAAGGTTCGGACATTTGGCATCACACCAGAACATTCCTTTTCAGAGCAGATTTTTCTTGTAGTGACGGACTTTTTTTTCCATACAGACTACAATATTTTTCTTCAATGGTATGCAACTGCATATTGTGCAACGTTAGGATGATAATGAGGTGGCTTTGAACGCTAAGGCGCCGGACATCAACAGATGCCATGGCAACCAGGGTTCAAATCCCAGCCGGGCTGGGTACAACCTTCATTATGTGTGTACGGATAGAGCTGGTCGGTATTTTGGAGTTCTTAGGCGCGTTTTTCGATCGAATTCGCTGAAATTTGGTACATTGGGTTATTTCCGGGTCCTTAATTTCTCCACAAAAATAATAAATATAGGTCAATTTTTTCGGGTAGCCCACATATAGGGGCACCGTCAATTTTTGGAATTTTGGGGTTCTTGAATTCGCTGAAATTTGGCACATTGATATTTTTTGGGTACCAAGTGTCTCCACTACAAATGTTAAATATCGGTCCACTTTTTCCGGTAGCCCCCATATAACGGTACCCCCTATTTACGGTATTTTGGGAGGGGGGGTGTTTAAGGCTCGTTTTAAACTGAATTAGCTGAAATTTGGTACAATGGGTTCTTATTGGGTACCAAATTTCTTCACTAAGAATTATAAATATAAACCCAATTTTTCGGGTAGCCCCCATAAAAGACACCCTCAATTTTCGGTATTTTGGGGTTCTTGGGCGCATTTTTCAACCGAATTCCCTGAAATTTGATATTTTGTAGTCGCATATGGTAAAAAATCTTCCTACCAAAAACTATTAATATTCGCCCCATTTTGGGGTTATTCCTATATAACCCCCTTCTTATATTAAAATAGTTATCTGATTAGTTCCGTGTGTAGGGGTTTTCCCCCATATAGGCGTATTCTACCATAGTACAGGGGATAGTCGTTACTTCAAATAATCAGTTTTTTATTTTTGAGTAAAATTATGGAATTCTATGATGATTTAGCCATCGGTTGTAACCATTCCGCTTTCTAAAAAAACCGTGATAAAAAACTCGAACCTGACGTTAATGAAATATATCGGCCAGCGTTTAGGCATCACCCCCATATAATTATTACCCCTGAAGGAAAAAATTGAGACACAAAACAAAAATATTGGCTTCGAAATTGACATATGTCGGTCATTAATTAGGCGTAGCCCGTAGCCTCATATAATTATAACCCCAAATATTCGCTAATTTCTACTCTATTATCTGTCAGTATAACTAAGGTGGAGGTTATCCAAAGTTCGGCCCGGCAGAACGATTTTTCACTTGGTTTAATATTTTTTCAGATACTACCATATGGCGTTGATTTTTTAAGTGCCATCATAAGGCGTAAATTTTTTAAAATATTTTTTAAATACCAACATAAGGCGTAGATTTATGGGGACAACAACAAAATCCTTTTTTTTTAATTTATAATTTAAAAATATATTTTTTAATAATTATATTTTATATTTATTTTTTTCTTTCCAGAACCTTCCTTAAAATTTGGTCCATTGCCCTCGTTAAACTCTTTGGAATTCCTTCCCGAATTATTTAAAACTCAAATCGAACGTACATTCAATCAGCATGCAGCAAGTCAAACAAATTGTGTAATAGAAAATGCAACAGCAACAAGTAGAGCACAAAATGCTCAAATCAATTCCAATACCAACAACAACAAAAACAACACCAACAATAAGTTCAATAACTTATTATTAGCTGATATGCTGGAAACATCCTCCAAAAATCACTTCAACCTCTTTGTAGGTATTACTAATGAAGCAAAGGAGGTTCCGCAACTAAAATCGGAGCCTGACAACGATGCTGCTGACATCAGCGTAAATTTGCCAAAAGTTTTACAATCTAATGTAAATATGAATTCCATTGTGAACACAAGCGAAAACGATGCTGCTGATTTAGAGTCAAAGTTGATGCCGAACAAATCAGCTGAAGCTGAAAGTTTGCCCTGCACAAATATGGGTGCTGATGCCGTCAATGCGGCTGTGGGTGACAGAGGTAACAATGTCGATGACAATGCCAGTGGTCGCTCATCTTTAAAAGTACGTGATGAATTTGTGAAATTAAAAAACCAAAGTGGCAGTGAAATGCGTGCCAGTGACAATCACCAAACAACGTGTCCTAGAGAAGAGCAACAACAACAACAGCAGCAGCATAAGTATGCTAGTCGCCAATGTCATCAACAGCAGCAGCCCCAACTTCATCTGCATCATAATAAAAATAATGATGATGATGGTGAATTTTCACCACGCCATCGAAGTCATAGTCGTGACAGTTCACAAGCCAGTTCGGGCAAAAACAATTGCCTTGCTGATGATGGCGATGCTGATGACAATAATAAGGGTTCATCGGGTGAGGAAGGTAAAGTTGGAGTTGCAAACACCACAACAACAACAGCAGCATCGACGCCACTAACTAATGTGGGTGGTGGCGCTGACACAGGCGATTGTAATCAAAAGACAACTTCATTTCCATCTGTCAATCAGTTGAGCCAAAAAGAAAAGCGTGAACAGTTTTCGAAAATTAAGGGTAAGTCTATAGAAGTTTCTTCTCCATACATACACACACATTACTAAGTATGTGTGTGTGTTTTGTTTTAAAATATCTATTTATCTACTCAAAACTTTTATTTGAAAACTACAAATTTGCACAGTTGTTTCATTTTCCGGAATACGGAATATGATAATGATCTATGGCCATGGCCATTCACTTGCTTATTTGTTGGATTTTAATCAGTTTAATTACTGTGGCAATAAAGCGGAGGGTGGAAATATTCCACCCCTGAAATTTACATTTCCAAGTCCAAATAGTCGGGGTGGGGGCACTCTTTTGTTTCATTTAATTAATTTTATTTTTAATCAAAATACTTAAGTTTGTCGACAAATTAACAGCAAATGTGTTGTAATGATGGATGGGTGGTTATTTATTCACAAATTATATACACATACATATCTTACTTACTTAGCTGTCTTGTGACAGAACTTTCGTTTCATAAGCCGAGCTTACAAAAGATTTCCAGGCGCGTCGGTCTTTTGCGCAGTTTTTCCAATATGAAAGACCATTTTCGGCGATGCTGTTCTCGATTTGATCTTTCAAACGTATTCTTGGCCTTCTACTTCTGCGTGAACCTCAGCTGGTTCGCTATATGCCTTCTGGGCTGGGGCATCTTCATCCATTCTTAAACATGACCTAGCCAACGTAGTCACTGCAACTCAATACTCATGGTTCATTCGACGGCGATATTTACCGTCAACGCAGATAGGCCCATAGATCTTTCGGAAAATTTTTCTCTCAAACCCTCCAAGAGCTGCCTCATCTGCTTGCGTTAGTACCCATGCTTCAGATGCGTATAACAGCACGGGTAGTATCAACGTCTTGTAGAGTGTGAGTTTGGACGGACGGGAGGTGGCATTGCTTTTAAGTTGTTTGCTCAGACCATAGTAGCATCGGTTGCCCATCACTGTCCTTCTCCGAATTTCAAAACTGATGTCATTCGTTTTATTTATGGCGGTTCCAAGGTATATACAATCTTTGACTACCTCGAAGCTGCAGTTCTCAAGTTCCACAGTTGGTCCGAGTCTGGACGTCTTGCGCGTTGATACCATCAGCTTGGTCTTTCCGCCGTTTACTGCCAGACCCACTTTTTGAAAGGTGGCTGTTACCGCACTCAGCGTTCGACATATTATGTCGATGTCGTAGGCGAGTAACACGTGTTGTTTGGAGTACAGAGTGTCATTTCTGTTTACTTTTGCCTTTCGTATAACTTTTTCCAAAGGTCACACGACAAACTATCACCTTGTCTAAATCCTAGTTCGGTATTAAAGGGCTCCGAGAGGTTCTTTCCGGCTATAACTGCTGATCTTGTGCCTGTTAAAGTTATCCTGCATAGCCGAATTAATTTTGCAGGGATGCCAAACGCAGACATGGCTTTATACACCTCTGAACGGATAGGGCTGTCGAATGCGGTTTTATAGTCGACGAATAGGTGGAATGTGTCGATGTGTTTTTCGTGGGTTTTTTTTCCAGGAGTTGGCGCAGAGTGAAAATCTGGTCAATGGTGGATTTACCAGGTCTGAAGACGCATTGGTATGGTCCAATGATATCATTGACCATTGGCTTCAGTCATTCACACAGTACGCTGGATAGCACTTTATATGCGATGGGAAGGAGATTTATTCCTCTGTAGTTGGCACATATCGTCTTGTCTCCTTTTTTGTGCGCGGGACACAGGATGCTGAGGTTCCAATCATTGGGCATGCATTATTCTAGCCAAATTGTACTAATCAGCTGGTGCATGCTCCTTATCAGCATCTGACCACCAGTCTTAAATAATTCGGCTTGTAACCCATCGGCACCTGCTGCTTTATTATTCCTCAGCCGTTTCATTGATATTCTGACTTCATCTTGGCTAGGTGGTATACACTCCATACCGTCATCTAATATTGGCTCTGGGGTATCTTCTTCACCGCCATCATTTGATACCAGAAGCTTTTCAAAATGCTCCTTCCAGATACTCAACACGCTGTCTGTATCTGCCACCAGGTTTCATTCTTCATCTCTTCAGAAGGATGTGCCTGCACCAAAGCCTTCGGTTTAGTGTTTTACCCGTTGGTAGAATTTTCGGACTTCATTCTGACTCCTGTACATCTCGATTTGCTCACGCTCATGTTTTTCTTCCTATATCTTCTTTTTTCTGAAAATAAGTTTCTCCTCTCTCCTTTTCTCCTGATAGTTCTCCATTGCATTACGTGTTGCTACTGTCCGCAGGGTTGCCCTATACGCTGCATTTTTCATATCAGTAGCATTACGACACTCCTGATCGTACCACGGTTTTCTTGATGGTGGTCTTTGGTACCCAAATGTTGTTTTTACTGAAGTTTGTAGGTAGTGGGCAATTCTTTGCCATTGTGCTTCTATACTCTTATAGGGACAAGAAGTGCTTTCGTCAAGCAGGTGGGTAAGTTTGAGCGGTGTAGGCTTCTGCTATCTGTTGTGTTTGCAGCTTTTCGACGTCGAGTTTCCATGTTACATTAGATCGCACCTTTGCTGCTACATTAAGACGGGTGCGTACTTTGGCTGCCACAAGGTAATGGTCCGAATCGATATTCGCTCCCCGGATCGACCGGACGTCTAGAACTCTGGATGAATGCCTTCCGTCTATCACAACATGATCGATTTGATTTCTCGTTGTTCGATCGAGAGAAATCCAAGTGGCTTTGTGTATATCGAGATGCTTGAATCTGGTGCTGCTAACTACCATGTTTTTTGCTGCCACGAAGTCAATCAACCTCATGCCGTTGTCGGATGTTTCTTCATGGAGGCTGAATTTTCCGGCGGTGGGGCCAAAGATATTTTCCCTTCCGATTTTTGCATTAAAAACTCCTATCCTATTTTAATGTCATGGCCAGGGCAACGATCATATGCTGTTTCTAGGCGCTCGAAAATTATGTCTTTGGTCTGTTCATCTTTATCTTCGATCGGAGCATGGGCGCAAATGAGACTAATGTAGAAGAACTTCGCTTTTATAAGAATATTGCAATTCGCTCATGTACTGGAGTGAATCTGGAGACGAGGTCTTTTATTCCATTAATCCGCAGCCAAATTCACGTCTCGTTTCATGGCAGCTATAATACAGGGCGTAATCATCTGATTTACTTGCGCCAGTCCCTTTCCATCGCATTTCCTGTAAGGCAATAATATCGGCTTTGTACTTCTTGAGTACATCCGCCAAAGCGAACACTGCGCCTGTTCTGTACAACGTGCGCTCATTCCAAGTGCAGATTCGCAGATCGTGGTCCTTTATACGTTTGCGGGGGTCGTCCACATTAAGGGGGTTTGGTTTTCTTTTTCGTTGCTTTTTCATAGTAAGAGGGGTTTTCCGAGAGTGAGCAACTGACCCGACGCCTCAACCCATTTTTTATAGTTCATATGGTAGAACTCGCGACACATATTAGCTCACTATTTCACCGGGTGATGAAAATATCTCCCCAGGTCGCACCGCGCGGATGTCAGTGTCCACAATTGAGATGAAAGAGGGATCAAGATAAGCCTGGACTTCACCATGTTAAAGGCAATCAGAGCCACTCCACATACATACAAATTCTATAAATTAAAAAAAAACGTTTTAAAATTTTTATAAATATTTTTAAGGACTTAAATAAGGCGTGGATTTTTTTAATCATTTTTAAAGGACTATCCACAGCCGTGGATTTTTTTAATAATTTTTAAAGGACTATCCATAGGCGTGGATTTTTTAAATAATTTGTAAAGGACTATCCACAGGGGTGGATTTTTTAATAACTTTTTAAGGGTCTAACCCTTTTTAAAAAAATTTAAAAGACTACCCATAGGCGTTGATTTTTTTACTTTAAGGCACTAACCAAAAGCGTGGATTTTTTTTAAAGGATTGAACAAAATTGTGGATTTTTAAACGATATTTTTAGAAGGAATGTCTATCTAAAGGTTATATATGTTTTTATGTATATTTATTTCTTATCATATTTTTTCTATTTTTCTCATTTTAATTACCTTGACATTTTCCTAAACATTTGTCATATTGGAAAAACCTCAAAGTCAGCAGAATAATAATAATTTTTTTTTAATAATAATTTTTTTTCGGTTTGTCTTCTTGTGACATTTTAATTATGCCATGATATTGAGACTCAGAACCCTTTTTCCGTTTCAGGGTCATAGTTAAAAAAATTAACACAAATTTCACTTTCTACGAACTGACAACAAAATCGAAACTAAGGGCCAATGAAAAAAAAGAACATGGAAGCAATAAAAAAATTCCCGACCTTCGACAAAAAATAAAATTGTACCTTTGTACTAAATAAAATTGTAAAGTTTTTTTATTAGGCCTAGCCGTAACACAAAAAAATGACTTTACTTACAGTTGTTGTTGTTCCTGTTGGCGTTAAAGGTTCTGTGCATTAGGAACAACAACACCAAAAAAGTGTGTGTATTTTTTATGGTTATTACAAAGTACACGGACGCCTAAATATTATTGTCTGTCCGTCCACAAGAACAAAGTGGCCGCAGATTAGAAGGACGCAGTTTTAAGATGGCTGGCTGGCAACTATTTAACGCCCTTCCACTTCCACTCAAAGACACCAACACCACACCACCAATGCCCATACACCTGAGAAATTATGTTTCTGGATTTGTCTTTGCTTTTTTTGTCGGGAAAATAATGCCGCAAAACTACTAAAGACAAGAGGCCAGGATCATAAAACCAAGTCAAAAAATCACCAGCCAATCTAAACATCAGAAACATTTAACAACTCCTTGTGAACGTGAGAGAAGCTAACAGAAGAAAATGAACATGTAGATTTTTCATCGATATTAAGTCAGTCCATACAGCATCCCACTAAACATACTTGCCTTGTAATAAAATGCCTCTTCTTCTTTTTCGTGGATATGGAAGTGTGAAATAGACCATTGGTCTATCCGCATGGCAGTTCATATGTTGATGTGTATTGCACAGTAGCACTGAGCGGCCATCAGAATATTTTTTTGGGCAAAAAAAA